TCTCTTTCTCTCTTTCTCTCTTTCTCTCTTTCTCTTTCTCTCTTTCTCTCTTTCTCTCTTTCTCTTTCTCTCTCTCTCTCTCTCTCTCTCTCTCTCTCTTTCTCTCTTTCTCTCTCTGTCTCTCTCTCTCTCTTTCTCTTTCTTTCTTTCATTTATTTTTTTTAAGAATATACACCAAAATCTTAACTCTGGCTCCCTTTGGGTGCGTGCAAATACTTATATAGCCTCTCTTTTATAAAGAACATTAATATTACCACTCTTTTCTCTTTTCAGAATCTGATATTGATGCTGCCACTGCCATGATGCTTTTAAACACTTCTATAGAACAAGGAATTTTAGAATGTAAGCAATCATGCTTTTCTTTTTATTAAAATACACTTTTGTGAGTGCCTTTTCAAATTTAATTTAGAATATAAAGTGTTTAAATGTTAAAGGCAAAATTACTTCTTTCTAGTTAAATTGTGTTTCCATATGAATCACTTAGTTTGTTTTACTGTATTCCCATTAATTTATATGCACAATAGAGAGATTGAAGTGAATGCTATGAGAGGTTTTTTACATTCATCAAGACATAGAGAAATAAATAGCATATTTAGAAAATATGTTTGAAGAGCTAAAAGTAAAATGAAAGCTATAAATAAGAAAATAAAGGGAACTATATAACCTCAAAATAGTAAAAGCTTTAAGATACAAAATGCAAAATCCATAAAGGAAAAAAGATGAGTAAATTTAATAAAACATCAAAATGTTAGAGTTCTGACAACAAAAGATATCTTTAAGAAAAGTAACATAAAATACTGAGAGAACATTTTTCTTTTCCATATATAACAAAGAATTTTTCTTTATATGGATCCTACAGGTCAGAAATAAGAAAACAGTTTAACAGAAAAGTCAGCAAAATACATGAATAGGTGGGTCTCAGAAGAGGAAATATATATGGACAATACACACGTGAAAAGATGTGCCACTTTTCTAGAAATTGAGGAAATACAAAATGAAACAATTTTGAGATAGTTTTTTTTGTCTGTGAGATTATAAAAAATTTAAATGATTGATAATATCAGGTGTTAAGTATGGGAATAGGTTTTTATCACACACTGTTAGATATAAATACATATAACCATTTAGGAGGCCAGTTATAATTTAAAATGTGTATATCCTTTTACTTAACAATTCTGTTTCTTGGTATCTCTCCTAGAAAATTATTTGCATATGTGTGAGAAAAGGCATCTCAAAGGATTTTTACTGTATCATTATTTGTACTAGTGAAATCTAAATATCAACAAGGAAATGGTTAGCTAAACAGTGGTACATTCATATTGAGGCATTCTGTGCAAATGGTTCTAAGTAATTACATATTTCATGGAAAAGTCAAGACATACTGTCACATGGTTTAAAAATGTTTCAGATTAGGGGCCGGCCCGTGGCTCACTCGGGAGAGTGCAGTGCTGATAACACCAAGGCCATGAGTTCGGATCCTACATAGGGATGGCTAGTTCGCTCAATGGGTGAGCGTGGTGCTGACAACACCAAGCCGAGGGTTAAGATCCCCTTACCGGTCATCTTTAAAAAAAAAAAAAATGTTTCAGATTAATGCCTACAAAATGATATGATTTGAAAAAAAAAAAAAAAAATGTTTCAGATTAATGCCTACAAAATGATATGATTTGAAAAAAAAAAAAAAAAATGTTTCAGATTAATGCCTACAAAATGATATGATTTGAAAAAAAAAAAAAAAAATGTTTCAGATTAATGCCTACAAAATGATATGATTTGAAAAAAAAAAAAAAAAATGTTTCAGATTAATGCCTACAAAATGATATGATTTGAAAAAAAAAAAAAAAAATGTTTCAGATTAATGCCTACAAAATGATATGATTTGAAAAAAAAAAAAAAAAATGTTTCAGATTAATGCCTAAAAAATGATATGATTTGTAAAAAAAAAAAAAAAAAAAAAAACATGTTTCAGATTAATGCCTACAAAATGATATGATCTGTATAAAAAAGAAAAAAAACTCTACATAACATTAATAACTAAATTACTTCTCAGGAGTGATACAGTAGTTTTAAATGGTCTGCTTTTGCAGTCAGATGCATTTGATCTATTGATGGAAGTTTTATTTTCCACAGGTGAGAAGCCTCTTCCTCTTAAAACAGCATCGCAAAAAAAGAGGAGTTATGGCAATGCATTTAATCATCCCAGTGCTGTATGCTTACCAGAGAGTGATTCTTCAGCCACCAGCATTGATCCAAAAGAAGATCACAATTACAGTGCAAGTAGCATGGCAACACAGCGTTGTGCATCCAGGTCTAGCGTGTCTTCCCTGTCTTCTGTGGATGAGGTATATGAATTTATCCCAAAGAGCAGCCATGTGGGAAGTGATGGCAGTGAAGGATTTCATAGTGAAGAAGACACAGACATTGATTACGAAGATGATCCTCTTGGAGACAGTGGCTATGCATCACAGGCTTGTGTAGATACCTCTAAAAAAGGGCAGCCAGGCAAAAAGATGCGAAAACAGTCATGTCAAGAAATTGATGAGGAGCTCAAAGAGGCAGCTGGATCTCTGCTCCACCTTGCTGGAATTCGTACATGTCTAGGTTCCCTAATAAGTACTGCAAAGACACAAAATCAAAAGCAACGGAAAAAATAGATACTTATTAGTGTGAAATTATATTAAAGTGTGGCAATACTCTTCTTAATTCTTTACAAGGGATATCAAAGCCATAATGGGACTTCTTTAGTTTTAGAATGGGGGAGGGGTGCTAATTACTTGTTTCTTTCAAACCCTTATTATTATTATTATTTTTAATTTTTATTAAATAATTGCTGTTAGGATCATGCCCAATCATAAATGTATGATACGAAGTCCTAAAAGCATACTTTTTGTGATGTGTCTCCAAGATTTGGACATTTTTGTATTAGAAAATCCTTGGCCTCTGTCTTAAACTTGTAGGAAAAATCTTTTCTTCTCTTGATAAGTCAAAGTGTAAGATTTGGCAACTCCATAATTTTTTTTTTCATTTTCTTTTCAATCTGTAATTAACTATAGTTACTGATCCAGCTAGAAATTTTACTGATGTCTTTGTCATATACATCTGTCCTGACACACAATCCAGTAGGATAAGATTTGGATTTTTGTCTTAATTTTTGTTTTTAAATATTTTTTTGTTGTGGCATGAGCAGAATCAAAATATAAATTGGGAAAGATCCTAGATGTCTGGAAAGTTCCTTTTGGTTATGTACATACAGAATACAACAGAAAGTTCTAAGATTTAGAAAAGGCAATTTTGTGGTGTGATTGATCTAAGAACACTTCAATTCCTATTACGATGGTTTCTTTGAAATGTTACTTCACAGATACTGCATAGCGTTTACTGGGGCCTTCTGCTTTTTTCCCAAAGTGCTTTGCAACCATTGTTTAAGTTTTAGCCACTACCTATCTTGCTTAGAAATTATCCAGTGAGAAGATACAGCCACAGAATATGTTACGGAGTAACACCCATTTTGACACACTTTTGCAATAAGAATCTTTCATTTGCTTGCTAAGTGTATTGCATTTGGAGAGTCTTGTAATAGGAGTGAAATGGAATAAAACATCTTGAATACTTATTACTTATGTCATCATAAGTAAAGGTAGGTCATTTAGGGAAGAATTTCTCCCCAACCTTTGTACAAATTAAATTTGTATGTATACCAAATTAAATTTTAAAACATTTAATGCAACTATAGAGACAAAATATCTTCATAGATTTGAAATACCAAATTAAATTTTAAAACATTTAATGCAACTATAGAGACAAAATATCTTCATAGATTTTTAAATTGTATAAAATTAGATCTTATACTATACATTCTTTTGAGGAGGTAGTGTAAAACCTATATGTGCCATTAATCCTTGCTAAAAGATTTTATATTACTGTTCCAAAAGTGAATTGACTAAGGTATTTTAAGTATTTGAGCAAGTCTCCTTGTATGAGACAGTTTTTCATATCATTCGTGAAGTTTGAATACATTATTCAGAAAGAACAAGGGATACTAATAAACTAAACTTATTCCCTATATATATTTTTTACAGTGGTGGAAGCAACTTTCCAAAAGTTCAATCTTAGCTTATGTTATACCCTATGTCATAGACAATGACCTTGTTTTTATTTTTCTAATAACTTATAGGTGTACACACACACACACAGGCCCTGATGTTGGTTTGCTGCTTTTCAGCTGTTTCTATGACTATCAAGCATTTTCATGGATTTTTTTTTTTTATGAGACAAGTATTTTTATTTTAACTTCTAAATTTTATTTGGGCAAAACCGTCAAATGAGAAGAATGATAACAAAAACATCTTTTTCAATGGAAAGAGTTTAAGCCAGGTATAACAGCATAAATATTCTCTGTCCTGTTTCCTTGTTAATTGTAATTGAACCTGGGTAGCCACATTAATCAAATTGGTGCTATCAAAATGTAGTAATTTTTAAATTTGTTGATAATGAAAAATAGCCCTTAAGCATGCAAGATGAGGTATTTGGATTTTTTTCTTCTTTATATATGTCACATATATAGAAAATGGCAAAATTAAGTTTACACCATTTACTGTGGACAGTGAATAAAACATCAAAAAAAATGCTTTTACTATAATATAAATAGTAAAGAGATTATAGAAATCATTTTGATAACAATAATTTAAGCTATTCACCATGGCACTCTGGATAGACCGTAACAGTGTTTCAGTGATCTGGTTCCATTTTATTTTGTCACTGAAATTCTGTACCACAAATGTTCTTCCTGGTTCCTGGCCATTAGATCATTACTCTTTATAAGTAAAGGAAAATGATCTAAGATAAGGAGGTGGGGAGGTTATTCCCAGCTCTAATAGGGATCGTCACAGTTACTTTGTCTTAATATATGTAACAATAACCCTTTTGTTTTCTCTCCCTCTTCATGTGCTCCTCCCTCAAATTTAAATATTTGTTACATTCATCACTAGCAAGGATGACAAACACTTGTGCTCCAAAAGCTAACGGAAAAGATTCAACACAATATTTTACACTTAATTCTTGTACAGAATTCAGTGTATCACTTTCCATTTGCTAATGTCCCAAGTCAGTTATTTTCAAGGGGAAGAAACTTTTAATTATATTCTCCTATTTACTTCTGTAGAAGTTGATTCTCATTCCTCAGGAGTGTTGAGATAGAAAGGTGGCTAATAAGCACCCAATTAAAGCAAGTCATTCCAAGTCCTATGGACTGGAAATTATATTACCAATAATATATTAATAACAAATTTTACTGTTATAAAAACAACTTGGAAACCCCAAAGAGATTACATACTTTCCAACATATTCTAAAACTGTGACTTAAGCTGACATACAATTTGCCTTACATCCAACTAGTATAAATTTTGTTGCAATCCATTCCAGTTAATATATCCCTAGTAAAAGTTTTGACTTGGCACAATTAATCTTCATCTTTCACATGCCAAATAGAACCAGTATTTTTTGAATATGTATTTTTGAAATTTATTTGTGCAATATATTATTAAATTAGTTAATATTTTATTTTACTTTTCAAATTCAGAGAAAGAAAAGTTTACCTGTATTTGTGGAAAAGCCAACTATTGGTGGATCACCTCCCTTTTTCCACCTTTGAGCCTTTTCTGTCCTCATAGCCAGCATGACTTCTTTTAACTTAGATTCCTTCGTATGTATTAAAGTTTAGTATATATATATTTTCTCTTTTGCTGTTTTCTGAGGCATTATGTAAAGGGTTCATAGTAGATGGTCAGTTAAATATGTCAGCACAAATTCAAAGCTAGAGAAAGGGTTAAGGAGGGAATGTATGTGTCTTAGTAGACCAGGAGGCCTTTCTCAGTAATTTTTATGCAATAGATGTGAATACTTCACAAAGCTGTAAAGACTGTTGTCTTAAATACTACAGTAATTTAACACCCTTTTGTGAAGATCATAACATTTAATTAAGAAACTTTGAGGCTTTCTGGTTTACATATATTTTATAGTTTTTTGTTAGTTTGAAATGTGTAAGCTTTGATTTAAACAAAGTTTACTTTAATATGTTAATGATGTAGTCAAAATATTTATTGAAAGGCAAAGCAGAGTATTTTAATGTTATACCTGCCATTTTTCTTTAAAGCACATTTTTTCATCTAACTGCCAGTGCCATTGTTAAAACTTGTTTTTAAAATTGTTGTACGTTTCTTATTAAACTAAGTGTTTAAAGTATTATGTTACCATCATATAGTGTATAAAAATGTATAATTGCCAATTCATTGTAACTATTATTTATTTTTAAGTGAAGGTGTAAGAATGCTTTCTGATTCAAGAAATGTTATTACACTTTCCTTGTCCTCTTTTCTGAAGTAGCATAAAAATTGTCCTGAGTTTGGGTTATAACTGCCAGTAGATGACCAGTCACAAGTGAACCACTTCTCAGTTGCCAGTCTTTGCTCATATTAAAAACAACTTACAAATGTTTAGTTTTTGTATCTAATCTGATATTAAAATGTTTATAAAGTTTATTTTTACCAAAGAGATGCAATTCTTTATGATAAAGTACTGCAGAATAAACTTTGTTTTATAACATTTTTGTACTTTCTCTGTTCTTTTGCAGGGGGGTAGTGTGTATGTAGGTGGCTCATACATCTACACATACATACTTTCCATTGTGGTATTACAAAGTTGGAGTCATACAGATGAAAAATAGTTTCAATTTCTGAATTTTTAAAAATCTGTTTTTTTTAAAGTATTGATTTCCCTGGTTTTCGATGTCATCTTAATCATTGAAAGCTAAAATAGTATTAAATGATTCCCTCCCTAAAGTTGAGCTTCTTTTCCTATTCATTTATATATATGAGATATACTAGAAAAATGGAGTATAATATGAAATTAAGATTATTTCTAAGTACAGAGGTGTTACTTCAAAAATATCAATAATACCATTTTAAAAAATTGGAGTATTAGTATGTTGCTTATAACAAAATACCCAAAACTGGGAGATTTATAAAGAAAAATTTATGATTTACGGTTTCTGAGGCTTGGAAGTCCAGAGTCCATCTGGTGGTGGCAACAATGACCCAGTGGTCTCACATTGCTAGATGGTGGATCGGAGAGACCAGAGCAGAGACAGACTCTCTTCATTTAAAGCCCTCAGAACCACACACCTGACCACCATTTTTAATCCATTCACTAATGCACGGTCCTACAATCCAATCCCCTCTTCAAGGCTGCACCTTTCAATTATCATAATAGGATTTTCCACTCTCTTAACAGCCACAGAGGGGGCCAAGTTTCTAACACATAAAATTGAGATGACACAATTCAAGCTTCAGGGAGTTTGGGGGGATATAATCCACTACATTCTGCCCCTGACTCCCCAAACTCATGTCCTTTTCACATGCAAATGCATTCATTTCATCCCCAAAGTCTTAACTTGTTTCAACTCAAGAGTCCAAAGTTCAGAGTCCCATCGGTGAAATCAATACAAGTTATCTACTTCCAAGATACAATGGTGGGACAAACATAGGGTACCTATTCCCATTCCAAAAGGGAGAAATAGGTCAAAAGAAAGGGGTAACAGGCCCAAACAAGTCTGAAACCCAGCAGGACATGCACTGAATCTTAAAGCTGGTGAATCTTGTAACGACTCCAAGTTCAATGTCCTCTGCACACTGGTGTGGGGGGTGGGTCCCCAAGTCCTTTGGCAGCTCCACTTCTGTGGCTTTCCTGGTCTTAGGTGATGCTTCAGATCTCACAGGTTGGGTCGCACCCTGGTAGCTCCACAGGTCTGGGGTCTCCATGGTGGTCCCACTCTCATGGCCCTACTAGACATGGTGCTGATGGGGTTTCTCTACTGCATTTCTGCTCGGCATTGCTCTAGTGAAGGTTGTCTGTGATGATTCCACCCCTGTGATAGATTTCTTCCTGGGCCCCCAGACTTTTCCATACATTTGAAATTGGGGTGGAGGCTCCTAAGCCTCCACAGCTCTAGCATTCTGCAAGCCTGCAGACCTAACACCACGTGGATGCAGCCAAGGCTTCCTGCTTGTATTTTCCAAAGCTGCACGTCTAGCCACACCTGGGGCCAATTTAGCCACAGCTGGAGCAGCCAGAGCAGCTGGGGTGCTGGTGCTGGAAGCTGGAAGCAGCTTCAGCTGGGGTGCTGGTGCTGGAAGCAGCTTCCCAAGGTGGTTCTGAGCAGTGAGACTGTGGAGGGTGCCTCAGGCCTGTTCCCCAAGACCATTTTGTCTTCCTAGGTCTTTGGGCCTGAAATGGAAGGATTGGCCCCAGAGGCTTCTGCAATGCCTTCAAGGCCCTTTCCCCCTTCTCTTGATAATCCCTTCTTTCTACTAATCTTCTTAGCTAATGTTCATGGGGGTGCACCACTACATGCTCTGCTTCTCTACCACATACATGGCCAGGCTGCAAATTTTCTAAATTTTCACACTCTGATTCCCTTTTAAATTCTGGCTTTATGTCATGACTTTGCTGTCCTAACTCAGCAAAGTTGAGTTGTTACAAGTAGCCATGCAGCTTCCTTAATGCTTTGCTGCTTAGAAATTTCTTCAGCCAAATGCTCTGGTTCACAACTCCTAAGTTCCGACTTCCACAAAGTCCTAGGGCATGGACAGAATGTAGCTAAGCTCTTTGCCAGTTCACAGCAAGAGTGATCTTTGCCCCAGTTTCCAATAA